CCCATATTCACATCCTCACATCTTCACATCTTCTCATCCTCACATCTGCTCATCTTCACATCTTCTCATCTTCACATCTGCTCATCTTCACATCCTCACATCTTCACATCCTCACATCTTCTCATCCTCACATCTTCACATCGTCTCATCTTCACATCTTCTCATCTTCACATCACATCTTCACATCTTCTCACCTTCACATCTACTCTTCTTCACATCTTCACAGCCTCACATCTTCACATCCTCACATCTTCACATCTTCACATTCTCTCTTGCCCTCTTGCTCTCTTGCCCTCTTGCTCTCTCCTTCTTCTCTATTTCTCTCTTGAAGGCGCGGGGCAGTGCCAACGAGACGGCACGAAACGCAACACTTTCGCACGAAACGAGGTTCAATCGCCAAAAACAGCGGTAAAATTGCGAATTTGAAACCTCGGCGGCAACCCTTTCGCGCGAAATGAGGTTCGATCGCCAAAAACTGCTGCTGCGGTAAACTTGCGATTTTGAAGTGTCGGTCGCAACCCTTTCGCACGAAATGAGGTTCGATCGCCAAAAACTGCGTTAAAATTGCGATTTTGAAGTGTCCGCGACAACCCTTTCGCACGAAATGAGGTTCGATCGCCAAAAACTGAGGTATGTAAAAGCGTGTGTGTGTAAAAGCGTCTGTGTGTAAAAGCTTCTGTGTAAAAGCGTCTGTGTATGTCTGTGTGTAAAAGCTTCTGTGTGTAAAAGCTTCTGTGTGCAAAAGAGTCTCTGTGCAAAAGCGTCTGTGTGTAAAAGGTTCTGTGTGTAAAAGGTTCTGTGTGTAAAAGCGTCTGTGTCTAAAAGCGTCTGTGTGTAAACGCGTCTGTGTGTAAACACGTCTGTGTGTAAAAGCGTCTGTGTGTAAAAGCGTCTGCGTGTAAAAGTCTGTGTGTCAAAGCGCCTGTGTGTAAACACGTCTGTGCGTCAAAGCGTCTGTGTGTACAAGCTTCTGTGTGTACAAGCTTCTGTGTGTAAAAGCTTCTGCGTGTAAAAGCTTTGTGTAAACATGTCTGTGTGTAAAGGCATCTGTGTGTAAAAGCCTATGTGTGTAAAAGTGTCTGTGCGTAAAAGCTTCCGTGTGTAAAAGTGTCTGTGTGTAAAAGCTTCTGTGTAAAAGCTTCTGTTTGTAAAAGCGTCTGTGTGTAAAAGCTTCTGTGTGTAAAAACTTCTGTGTGTAAAAGTGTCTGTGTGTAAAAGCGTCTGTGTGTAAAAGTGTCTGTCGTCTGTGTGTAAAAAAGGGCGTGTTGAGCTGACCGAAATGCGTAGCACTCAGAAGTCGCATCGTGAAGTTACGTTGCAAAGTTGCAAATTTGTCGAATTGGGGTTCAAGCATGCAACCGCCCCCGGGTCGCCACAAGTTGTGCAGCACTCAGACTTCGCATCGTGCTGCAAGTTTGCAGAGTTTGGGCATTGAATATGTTACAATCGATAGCATTCGACCTCGTCTTTGAAATGCCGCAGGTATCGCAGCTCGGAACCAAGTGACAGCGCAACAGTTCTGTACCAGTTCTGCCTGAGGCAGTCACCATTTGGATGCTGTGAAGCTACACATTCCAGCTTTGGTGCAGAAGCTCAGGAACGCAGGAATGTTATTGCACACAGCGCTGGGGGCCCTGGTGCCGCAGATTTTTTAGATTTCAAAATGAAGTGCGTCGGCATAAGTCAAACAGAACTGTCTGAGACTTATTGATGCGCGTAATGCTTCCTGTCTCACCATAGTGCATCCGCATAAGTCAAGCAGAACTGTCTGAGACTTTGTCATCTACACTTGACTTTTTTGAATTCGCCGACAGTGAATAAGGCTGCTGATTGCTTGTGCGCATGTAGTTGCATGGATTGATCTGATTTCTCATCCTAGATGCACTAGTGGGTAGCAGCACATATAGAAGCATCTCTCACATACAGAAATTGAAAAGACAACAGTGTATTTAAAATTAATTCTTGTGTTTGTTGCTTTATGGGAGCTCACTTCTCAGACATTCTTCTGTTGATTAAACCACTCTGGCCGCAGTTTGGGATTTGAGTAGGAACAAATCAGACATGACATGTCCACGTAGCCGGTGTGAAATCAATGTTTTCCATTTGAAGTTCATTCGTTGCCAGGTTGTGGAGCCCTGACACCGCGGAATGTTTCGATGTCAAAATGATGGCAAAAAGTATGTTCGTGACGTTTGTAGTTGAAGCTGTAGCGGAGACAAGTCGATAGTTGAGACACTTGTTGAGACTTGTTGTAGTGCATCGGCATAAGTCAACCACAATTGAATTGACTGAGACTTTGTCGTCAACTTCGTCGACAGTGAATAAAGCTGCTGATTGCACACTTGCCTATGTGACAACATGAGGTTGCAGGTCTCACATGTGGACTGCACTGTTGAAAAGCCGGCTTTTCAGGTTAGGATTGCAAGAATGCAGGTCCCCTAATTGCAGGTCCCCTACGCTAATGTCTGTGCCTGTGTGTGTGTGTGCGTGTATGTGCCTTCCTCTTTGTGAATCTGACATAGCACTTCTATCTCCTTTCTGCTCATCATCTGACATGGCACTTCTATCTCCTATGTCTTTGATGCTACTTACAAGAGAGTAACATGCTCTTCTACGCTCTTCGCTCTTCTGAGTGTAAAAGTGTCTGTGTGTAAAAGCTTCTGTGTGTACAAGCTTCTCTGTGTAAAAGCGTCTGTGTGTAAAAGTGTCTGTGTAAAAGCGTCTGTATGTAAAAGTGTTTGCGTGTAAAAGTGTCTGCGTGTAAAAGCGTCTGTGTGTAAAGGCGTCTGTGTGTAAAAGCCTATGTGGGTAAAAGTGTCTGTGCGTAAAAGCTTCTGTGTGTAAAAGTGTCTGTGTGTAAAACCTTCTGTGTGTAAAAGCTTCTGTGTGTAAAAGCGTCTGTGTGTAAAAGTGTCTGCGTGTAAAAGTCTCTGTGTGTGTAAAAGCTTCTGTGTGCAAAAGCGTCTGTGTGTAAAAGGTTCTGTGTGTGTGAAAAACTATACGAAGGATACGATGCAAACTAGTGTCTTGTACTTGTAATATTTTGTCTTGATACTACTCTTCTCGTCTGCCTATAATACATCTTTAATATATTGTCTTGTAATATAGTGTCTCAATACTAATAACAGAAGACCCTGCTCCTCTACGCTCTCGGGCCATCCGTCGTCTAGTTTTTTTGTCGTTTTACGACAAGCGAATCGGTCCTGATCATCTCCCGCACCGAGATGCGTTGGGTACCCACCTCGGAGCCAAAGTGTTGGCCCTCCGCCGTCCAAGCACCATGCCTCGGTCCCGGGAACTGGATCCTGCCTGGGGATATCCATGGAGATCCTATAGAAAACTGGAGTATGATGCTATAATATGATGATCCACTTATAAATGGACCTTCCAAGAAGGGGGGAGATATCCTCCTGGGAGCTTGGAGATTAAAACAAATATCTAGTGATTCGACTTGACCCAGAGCCCCCAACCGAATGTTGTTTATGGGACTGATTGAAACCATCCATTTTCAAAGGGGTCCCATGAAGGTTCCATGATCAAACTCATCAAACCATTCTGTCCGAATGTCCGCCACCTAAAGGAGCTTGGTACTAAAGTTGTCATTCATTAAAAAAACGCTGGTCTCGGATTTCAGTGGTTTATCCCCATACCATCCCCATACCCTCTGGTAATTTCGCATAGCTATATTGAAAACGGCCATTCATAGTTGACTTACCGACTTACCCATTAAACATAGGCATTGAACATGAGTATTTTTTTTTTTAAAAAATAGGGATTTTCCTTAGTTACCCTCTGGTTCTTTAACAGTTTGCCATGGTATAGATGGCCCATAGAAATAGATGGTTTACCTATTAATAGCATGGTGGATCTTTCCATGGCAAACCGTTAGCCATAACCAGAGGGTAGTTTATCAAATACCATTAATTATCCCAGAAATAATCCCTATAAATCCCATGAATATCCCATTTTAATCCCTATTAGTCCTAGTTAGTTTTTAATTAATCAGGAACCAACATTATATGGTATGCGGTATCCCCTTTTGATGGTGGTGAAGGCCGCCCCAGTTCAGGTCGAGGTCTATAGGTTCACCACATCCAGCAGAGGCAGCTCAGGGGTCCCGCACCCTTTGTAGCTGAGAGTATCTGAGTTGAAGTAACGCCTGGGCGGCACGCCCATGTGGGATGAATTACCATCTGGGTATGACTAACAGTTTGCCATGGAAAGATCCACCATGCTATTAATAGGTAAACCATCTATTTCTATGGGCCATCTATACCATGGCAAACTGTTAGTCATAACCAGAGGGTACAAATCCCATCCCCCAAAAATATCAAATACTGCTGGGTTGAGGATATTGAATATTGGAGGGAAGGTCAACAAGCAAACGGTCGCCAGCACAAATTGGATGAACATCCGAGCAGCTCGACCATTCTTCTCATGGGATGTTCAGGCCACATTGCCAGTGAGTTCACCACAACTGTCCATATCTAAGGACACCCAATTTCCACCGAAAAATTGGAGGATTGGACACCTACGGACCTGACAGCAACACACCAAGGCAATCCCGAAGGCAGATCTGCGTTTCACACTCTCTGTGTCTGTCATGTGGGGGCGTCTTTCGTGAAGGTTTATACCATTTAGAATACCATTCAAACGGTGAAATTCGCTATGTTCTATTGTTGCGTTTCAAACATGTAGTCTCCCCATGGTTGTTTGCCTCTATCAAAGCTTCATTTAACTCGGGACAAATTCTGTGAACCATTAATCTACGTAAGTTCTGGCTCATTTTGAACCGGCAGATTCTTAGGGCTTCAAAAGTGTTGACATGTTCAGAAAGTGTCAAAATCAATGTGATCAAATTCAACAAAGTGGATAATATAATATAAAATTTAAAACGGATGATGGTTAAACGGTTAAACATCTTCTCCAAGATCACTACAAAATCATCCATGTTTCATCCATGTTTCACATTGGTGAACTCTGCGTTCCGCCGGCCCATGCTATCCCTCGTGCTTCCCCACAGAGCCAGCAGCTGGAAAACGTAGGCGCCACAAGACAGTGGGATCACGGACCAAGCGATCGCCTTTTGAAGGGTTGCCAGTGGGAGAAAAAACACATTCGAACATGGGAATGTCATGGGATATCGTGGGAATATCATGGGAATATCATGGGATATCGTGGGACTAACAATATACAGTATGCATGGTTAATGATGGTTAATTATGATGACTGGTGTTAAATGATTACTAATAACATCTTGAACTATAAAGTTCAACCATGGTACAGAATCATGAATTCTTACATGAATTTATGTTCAACTGTTCAACCGTAGTTAATGATGGTTAATAGTGGTACAGAACATGGTACAATATATTGTTAATAGTGGTGAACAATGGACAACCATGAGAATTACTGATGCTAAATGATTATTGACTGCCATCAGAAACATGGGAAATTATCCTCCATTGATCATACATGGGAAATAGTTCCATTTATTTCCCAGCCAGAAAGCTCCATTTACAAAGGATTTCCCAGCCAGCCATGTTTGATGACAGGGAAGGATAATTCTATTTGTTTTGGCGTATCTAACTGGATACTTAAGGCCAAACATGGTATCTACAAATATACTATGATTTATATAACCATAAGTTTACTGGAAGGTGATTGGGTTTAACGGGTTAAATATGACAGGACATTTCCGAAACACATAGTACTAAATTGGACTATAGTGGTGGGATTATGACCGGAAATTTAATTGTGATTACTTACCTATTATGATTGTAGGATATTATAGGTATTTTGGTTTTGGTATATACTGCAACGTAAATATGGTCAAATGATATTCATCAGAATCAATGAAAGTTGGAAGAAACTTTGGGGCAATGATTGAAACATATGGGTAGTTTCAGAAAGTACTGAAGAATTCCCATGGATTGTTGAATACCGTGGCTGGTGTCATGCTGCGCATGCTGCGCATGCTGCGCCTGTCCCTTGGATCCTCCAGAAGTCGAAATCTGCAAGGTATCAAAGGAGTTCAGCAGTGACCTGACGCTCCGCTACGCTCCTCTGGGATCACATATGAGAACCAGCAAAATGCAAAGAAGCCATAGGACTAGCCCAATTCTTGGGATATGACATATCTATGGATATCTTATGATATCATCTGGTTGGTGGTATACCTACCCCTCTGAAAAATATGAGTTCGTCAGTTGGGATGATTTTTTTCCCAA